CACGGGCGTAGCCAGGGGGCAGGGGGGCAGCTGCAACTAGATCAAGTAAAACAATAGAACTACTTAACCAACTGACGAATCAGGTCAGTTCTGCCACTCCTAACAAATATTCTGCCCCCCCCCAGCAAAATTCCTAGCTATTCCCATGGTAGGACTGGCCTTGCTATTAGGCGTAGTGAGGCAAGTACCTCAGAAAACTGATGTAGAGTACGTATAATATAAGAGCAGCGAAATATTAGTTAATTAATGCATTGCTGTATTATCTTTATTCCCAGGGAGAGGTGCTGATGGAATTTTCTGTCTCAGGTGCCATAATAATTTGTCAGTCCTTGAGAACAATATGCGCCCTCACCTAGAGAGAAGGGCCATTTGCCACCCCACCTTAGGCAGCAAAATGTCTTGTCTTATGCTGTCCCTCCTCCCATGATCCCACCAGAAAAAAACTGATAGGGCCAGGGTTCCTAGATGTGAGTACATGAGTGTCTGAAGTCATGTGTAAACATGTAAGAACAAAAGAACATAATGATAGCTCTGCTGGATCAGGCCAAAGGCCCAACTAGTCCAACATTCTGATCTCCCAGTGGTCAACCAGAAGTCTATGGGAAGCCTGCAAGCAGGACCCCAGCACACCAGCACTCTTGCCACTGGTGCTTCCAGTGAACCAGTGTGGTGTAGTGGTTAAGAGCGGTAGTCTCGTAATCTGGTGAACCGGGTTCGCTTCCCCGCTCCTCCACATGCAGCTGCTGGGTGACCTTGGGCCAGTCACACTTCTCTGAAGTCTCTCAGCCCCACTCACCTCACAGAGTGTTTGTTGTGGGGGAGGAAGGGAAAGGAGAATGTTAGCCACTTTGAGACTCCTTCGGGTAGTGATAAAGCGGGATATCAAATCCAAACTCCTCTACTTCTTCCCAGCAACTGACAATCAGGGGCATACTGTTTCTGACAATTGCGGGATGTAATCCTGTTTGCCTAGAGTAAACATGCAGGGGGATGTTGGTCCAGCCAGTTGAACTTCCTGTTACACCTGGTCTGGAGCATCCTTCCTTTGCATGTGACCAGGTAGGTGGGCATGACCCTTCCAGACCTAACAAAAGGTCCAGTCACACTGCCACCTTCCTCTTTTGATACCTTTTCTTCTCTTGGACTGCACTGCTGGCTCACTGCAGGGATATACCCATATGGGGTAAATCCACTCCTTCTACTGATTTGTAACTTCAAGCCTAAAGCCTGCCTTCAGGGATCACACTGTGCTCTGATCATGAGTAAACTTCTTATTGTTACTTATGAATAAGACTGTTGTGTCTTTATTCTTTTAGCAGGGAATCAAAGGGGCCTTACCAGGAATAATAGAACTTAAGAGATTCTAACGAATCTGCAACTAGCTTCCTGCTGTGTAAAAGGGGGGATGTACTCTGCTGTATGAATAAACTCACTAATGTGAGTTAGGAAGGATAATATTTAATCAATATATCTGCTCCTGCTACCCACAACATTCCCACAACAATAGAGGTAGAACAAAGCCAGATGGACGGGGTATAAATAATAAATTATTATTATTAAATTATTATTATCACAGTCAGTAGTCACGTCTAACTCTCTTTCAAAGCCATTCAAGTTGGTGGCTATCAGTACATCTTGTGGGAGTGAATTATGTAGTTCAACCATACATTGTGTGAAGAAGTCCTTTTCTTTTTGTCGGTCCAGAATCTTCCAACATTCAATTTCAGCCATATAATTTGCGTCTGCTATGGAAAATACTAGCAAAAGGTCAATATTTAAACCAAGATGCAGCCTGGAGCTGATGTGCAGTTGTGGTCTAAAACATCTGGAGGACACCAGGTTGGTGAAAATTGATTTAAATCAACTGTGTGACTCTGCAGGACTATATTTGAAGAAAACATTTATTTCCCCCACACATATGGCTGACCACAGACTAGGGTGTAATTAACATATTCTTTAAAATTGCTGTCACTAAATGAAAAACACTGCTTACTGGAATATAGTCGAGTCAAGGTCTATCCCTAGATCCTTAACATTATGTCTGAGTGGAGCCAGCTTCTTCCATTCTCTGGGCACCCGATAAATGTTTCTTTGTCCATGTGAGTGTTTTGCTTTTATTACTTTATTTTCATAAGATTTATGCACTGCTTGATTGTAAAGAAGCTCAAAGTGGTTTGCAAAACGAATAAAACATTAAAGTTATGGTGAACACCGTTAAAACTGTGGAATGGGTATTATGTGGCACCTTTAAGAGTGCCAGTCCCACAGACTGAAGCAGTCAAGTGAGCATATATGGCAGGGCTGACCCAAGACATTTTAGCACCTGAGGCAGATGACAAAAGATGGCCCCCTTCCTGCCAGGGAAGAAGGGGTGAGGGAAGAACTACATCAGGAACAAGGGGGCAGAGAAAGATCAATATCAGGATCTGCTGCCCTGGTTGGTCTTGGCACCTGAAGCAGTCACCTCACCTTGACTCATAGTTGGGCCGACCCTAAATGTAGGGTAAGGCGGTCTCACAGGTTGACTGGCTGAAGAATGATCCTATTGTTAACCCCAGTCAGTCTGCCAAATCAGTTATGATATGGGTGTGAAAAATGAGCAGGAGTTATGCAATCGGCCAATTATTGCAGCTGGAAATTGTATCTCCTCTGGCTATAATGCTGATATGTATTCAGGAACAAATTGGGATGAATGAATGCAGTTCTCGCACACAGACACACTCCCCCCCCCCCCGAGTGACTTTAACATGTAAGGTGAGAAGAAGACTAACTGGCTTTCATGCTTGTACATTGTGTAGCTGCTACCATTTCGTAATAAACATGGTTAACATAAAGGGGAGCTGAACTGACGTCAAGATCGTGCAGTTTTGTTAGGTAACAGGGAGACTTTCCATCCTTTGGGTGGTGGTCAACTAAATATTTGCACTAGTGTAAGGATTAGCACTTTCCCCCTTGATATGCCACCCTTATATCTGCTTTGGAGGGTTCAGGGGGAATCCAGAGCAAATTTAACAGGTGCATGAGAAGAGGAGAGAGAGAAACTCTTACACTTAAGGAACATTCTCCTTAATGCTGAATTCTGTACAATCCATACTGTCCACTTTCCTAAAGAATATCATCCAAGCAAGTTACAGTTTATATGGATACAGGTCAGAGGTTTTGACCCAGGTCAAAATAATACACCAAGAGAGAAGAAAGGGTGCTCTTCTGAGAAAGCAAAAGCAAAATCATAAAAGTGAGGTCATAAAAATGAACATGTGAGAAAATGAAAGTTTAAAAAAATCAGTTATCAGAGTTTCAAAGAGATTACAAAGCCATTGTCAGTCAAGCCACTGTTCCTTTTAGCCAGACTGCAAAACAAGCACCTCCTTCAGCTATACTGAAGCTTAGATGTTTGCATGAAAGTGCCAATTTACCTAGGATCGAAACAATGTAGTGTAATATAATGATTCAGTGATTCAATATTAAGTGTGGTGCAAGTGTTAATGTGATGGTGTATGTAAAGCACTTTGAACACCCTAAATCAGCCTCAGTATAATTGATTGATTGATTGATTGATTGATTGCCTTTACAGCCTACCTTTTACCCCAAGGTGGCATTCATGATTCCCCCCCCCCCAATCTGCACAACACAACCCTGTGGGGGTAGGTTAGGCTGAGTGACAGTGACTGGCCCAAGGTCACCAAGTGAGCTTTATGGCTGAGTGAGGTTTTGAACCCTGGTCTCCCAGGTCCTGGTCTGGTCTGTCACTCCAACCACTACACCCCACTCTCTCTCTGTAATAATTATGGGGCTACTTCTGAGGATGTGCAGACATAATTTCCCCTAGACCTGAGTAGCCATAATGTAATGAATATTTAAAGACATGCCCAGCAGGGAATATGACATCACGGTAGAGTTGAAACTTTGCGAACTTCCCATTTTATGACGTATGATGTATGTGTGCATTTTAGAAATTAAGGCTGCATTTATGTGGAAGGAAGGGCCAATCTGTGACCTGACTGAGACACTTTTAAACAGCAGTAAGGAACTTAAACCTCCCAAGTGGATCATTCCTATACCATGGTACATCTGGATACGAATAGGATCTGTTCCGGAGCTCCATTCGCATCCTGAAGCGAACGCAACCCGTGTCTGCACGGGTGCGGGTCGCGATTTGCCGCTTCCACGCCTGCGCGTGACATCATTTTGACAGTTTGCGCATGCGCGAGCAGTGAAATGTTATTTCCGGGTTGCCACGGAGCGCAACCCGAAAGCGCTCAAGTTGAAGCAACTTCAACCCCAGGAATAACTGTAGAAGATATAACATGTGATTTACTTACCCATGTTGACAGGCATCTCTTTGAGCTGGTTCACACATGCATATATTTTTAAACTTAATTAGTGGAATTTTCAGTGATGATGAGTGTGTGCAGTGCTTTTCCCCCGGGGGTACACATACCCCTAAAATTTTTGTTTGGCCTCGTTGAGGGGCAGTATTTCAATATGAGTAGGAAAATGAAAGCATCCCCAAACATATATATATATTTAAGAAAATAAGCACTGTGTGTGTGTGTTAGTGTGCAAATAAGCCATCCCAGATTGCACATCAGCACAAAGAATTCTCCCTCCTCCTTACTTGCAGTACTTTTCAATGGAGGCAGTTCCCACATCCCACTGCCCAAGGATAGAGAAATCAGGTGATAAGACCTGGGTTTTTGAATGACTTAATCCCCCCCACCCGCCCTTCTTCGTACGGTTGCACTGGTTCAGGCATTCATTTCATCTTCCAGAGAACCTTTGCCAGATATTGAGCCTAGGACCTTCTGTATTGAAAGCAGATAAGCTACAGCCCTTTTATGGAGACTGGGCACATGGGCTCCCCAGTGCTAAACTAATAACAGAGGGCTCGAAGCAGGGTGAGGACAGTTAACACTGAAACAAACTTGCAAGATGCAGGTGGGGCAGTGGCTGTGCCACATTTATTTCAGCAGGAGATACTGCCAAAGAATTTCTGTTTGGATCCATCTGCTGCCACTTTCATAAATATTACTTTTTGGGAGAATGTTTCGTGAAGGATGCAAAGCTGCTTTTGTTGTTTGAATAAGGCAGAGGATTGTTTACCGTAAAAACCAATTTGGGGTGGGAGGTGGGGGGAATAAGTGCCAGGTTATATTCAGGAGTTCAACAAAGCCTAAGCAAGGCTTAAGTGAAGAGTTAACATGCAAAGTAGCTTCCAGTCTATCTTCTACAAAGTCTATTGCTAGAAGTCTCAGCCCCTCCCCCACCCAATCATTTGTTATAAAGGCTTTTTTATGATACAAATTTGATAATCTCCCTTCCATGTTGGCATCGTTCTAATTTGCGTTGTAAGCCCATAAAATTCGGGCTCTTTGTCTCCCCTGAAGGCCACAAGGTTTTCAAAGATACCATTGTGCCGCCTAAAACCTATAAAATTGTCACTAGGGACTGATTAAACAGTCCTGAATTGAAACAGTGCGGGATTTTTTGTCTTGGTCCCTTTCAGGCATGACAATGCCCTTTTCAACTCCCGAGACAAAAGGGGGTTTAAGGGAGCGATTCTCTGGGAGATTCTTCGGAGATAACCCCAACCATATGGAAGACAAGGTGGCCAGCAGCTGAGACAAAAAAACAGGTGACAACAAGGACTGTCCACCCCAACCCCCAACCCCGGAAACAAGAGGCTGGACCCGAATATCCTTCTGCTCCCCACTCAGATGTCTTCTTGAAACCACCACCCACGGAGTTGGGCATAGCACAATGACCCCCGGCCCTCCACAACAATGGGACTGAGAAGGCCCACTGCAGCCAAAGGCACACAAGCAAACACACACACACACATACAGAGAGAGAGAGAGAGAGAGAGAGAGAAGTTGCTTTGTGGTCGACCCACCAATCAATCCCCAGAGAATTTGATCCTGCGCCAAGACGAGGGACGGTCTGGTTGATAGGCTCCAAAGCAAGAGGTGCGCTTAATTGAGAAGAGTCCGTTTTCAGATGAGCTGTTTTAAGGAAAGGGACACACCCGGGCAAACGACCTTCTTTGGCACCAGTCCTGGTGGGAAGTGAAGCCCTTCTTCTTCTTCTTCTTCTTCTTCTTCTTCTTCTTCTTCTTCTTCTTCTTCTTCTTCTTCTTCTTCTTCATCTATTTATATGCCACCTAAGGCCAAGGCAGTCTCTAAGCAGTTTACAAAAAAACAACACATTGTAAACACACAAACACGCATGCACAAGTAGCAGTAAAGCTGAAAAACTAGAATACCCAAATAAAACAAAAATCATTAAAAAGTAAAAGCAGCGTACATTGTGAAAACAACTAAAGAGTCAAGGTTCCATCTAGAAACCATTAATCCTAAAGGCGTGGGTCAGTAATATTTCTCCTAGTATAATATAGAGCAGACTCCCTCCCCCTTCCCTTGGCTTAAGAAGCCATCCAGCCAGACCAAAGGGTCGATAATATTCCTCTTAATTGGCGTTCGAGAGAAGGCGCCCAACTCCCATCTCCCTACCTCCACAGCCAGGTCGCCAAGAGAAGCGAGGAAGGACCACACCACCACTTTCGAACTTCGCAGAAGGCGAGAGATACGGAGGTCAGAGGACCACTTCAAAATCCAATCTGCACTGTTTGCACTAGAATTTCAATTCTTCCACCCAACGCCAGATCACTTCCCTCTGCTATCACGATTGACATTATGCTGCTTGCCAATGAAAGAGGTATCAGGTTCCCATCCTAAAATCATTTAAAAGAGCCTGGAAATACGCAAAGAAAAAAAATTTAAAACTAAAAATCCTGCCTTTCATCTCAGTCTTTAAAAAGTTGAGAAACTTCGAGGGGCTCGGTTTAAGTCTTCATTCTTATCGCATTGCGGCTGTACGCGAGGGGACCCGAGAAAATCCCTCGATAGAAAATCGCTCGGTTAACCCCCCCACGCCCTGCGAGCCAATTAGACAGTGAAAATGTGCGCAATTGTTACAAAACAGCATCGCGAAAACAAGTCAGAGCCGGTTTCTTTCCTGTCGTAAGAGCTGTTTGGAAAATATATATACATTCTCGGTACTGTCAGTTCGCAAAAACAAGGACAGCATCAAATCAAATGAAACAATCGATCGAGGGAGGTGGCAGAATATTAGAAGGGCTGTGCAATAATGACTCCAATGGTACTGCTGCTGCTGCTATTACTACTACTCCTCAGCTTGCATATAGGTACGTTTTATTGTGCGATAAGAAAGGGAGGCATTTTTCAGAAAGCTTGGAGGAAACCAGCTGTTTTAGGTTCTTTTCCAAGGAAAAGGGTCCGGCGCAAAGTTCCGTTTTGAGGCTACATAATGCTTCCTTTCCCACTTTCTGAACGCAACGCTTTGAAATAAATATATCCTATTTTTTGGATACGTTTCTTATAAATCCGGCCAAAGTTAACTTGTATTTCAACGCGAGATATTTGAGCACGTGCGAAACTGCAGTTGAAGCAAATGGATTTTTCGAAGCCAGCGGTGTCCATGTAATTGGGCCTTTAAGTATTAGTTCACCATGTAAATTCTGGGTACAGTCATTGACTGTAACTATATATAATTAGGGCAAACATTTAGTTCAGAGCATCCGTCTTCCTGTACACATTCGTATGGTAAATTTAATGGCAATCACATTGATCAATGTAGCCTTGCATTAATAGGACGAGATGGTGGTATTCAAAAATGGCATTTGCCAGATCGCAGACTGTGGAACTCTCTCTCTCTCTCTCTCTCTCTCTCTCTCTCTCTCTCTCTGTGTGTGTGTGTGTGTGTGTTGCTTTCCTACCGCGAAGGGGTCCTAGCCTTGCAAACAGTCCTAGAAGCCCATATGCAGGAAAGCACCCCAGAGAGAGGGGGGAGGGGTCAAGCATCTCCCTAACAGCTTGTCACTTGACAGTCACTCTTTCCGGTGTAAATTGCCCCTTCGACATAAATGCAGGGAAGCAATTCGACCTACTGAGCGTTTACAGGCTTGCGAACCCCGCGAACTCCAGCGGGACTGATTTTAATCCCATAATTCCAAATGACCAGGCAACGGCATCCAAAAGATATTTAAAGGGGAACTTAGTGGGATCCTTCCGGAAGGGAAGAGACCTTGGTCGCTCCCAAACACCAGTTTATTGGATCATTCGGCCTTGATTTTTGTGTGCGCAACTTTTGCGAGAAGAGGAGGAGGGCTATTTATTGAGCCTTTGTTCTGATTTGTTTGCTGGTAATATGAAGTTTGGCCAAGCAATTGTTAGCCTCACATTTTACAGTACATTCTCCTCCCCCTCCCCCGCCCCCGCCCCCACTTTCCTTATCCCCCGAAGTCCGATCTTTTGCAGGGAGGGAGTTTGTGGCACCAATTAATTTAAGAGGGCAACCTGAATTTGCCGGCATGGTCCCATCAGAAATAGTGAATGATATGGGACTTCTGGGATCGCAAGCGCGCGCGTCTTGGGATGCCGGCCTGTTCTGCCAAAAAGACACGGATCCCGAGGGTGGTTTTTGTTTGCCAACAATCCGGTTTATTGATCAGGGTAAGAAAGTTCTATTTGAAAATCAACTATGTCTGATACAAGCAACTCACTATTCGTTTTGTTTAGAATGAAACTCAACCTTCTTCTTTTTTTTAAAAAAAGCAACTATGTTTTCGGCCAGCTTTCTAAAACAAAAGGCCAAACACAGGGTTAGGGCGAGACGATCAAGGTTAGCTACGCCAGGCATTCCGATCCCCACAACATTGACAGGGAAGTCCCGTTGAATTCTGGTCTTTTCCAAGTAACAGCAGGATCCGAAGCACCCCTCCCACACTTCTGTCTATTAATCCGGAACAACTACCATTCGTGGCTTTGCTACTCACAATCGTTCATGGGGGCTGCCATCCATTTCACCGATAACAATGGGTAGAAAATCCTCATATTTTCCCGACCCCTTACTGTGAATACTGTGTGTGTGCGCGTGCGCGTGTGTGTGTTGAAGGGAAATTAACCCGGGTTGGGCGATCTTAAGTTTGCACCCTTCTTTCTATACGCGTTCCTATCTGCAAATCCTCTTTGGAACTTAAACCCCGGGAAAAGTACGTAGGATTTGCAACCTTCAAGATCCCACGGTTACTTCCGCGTAAAGATAATTTGGCGGGGGCGGGAGAGAGGATTGGGCCCACTTCCCTTGGTAGCAAGCAGCCGGGGATTTGATGTCTGAGTTTTCCTTTCTTACTGGTTGGGATCGGCGGCTCATTTTACTCTAAAGTAATACTATCCAAGCCAACGCCTCGCGAGATGAAGGCACCAGTCCAAGGCGTCGCCCCAGGGCAGGCGGGGTCCAGTATGTGTGTGTGTGTCTCTCTCTCTCCTTCTGGCAACCTGTCCGCGTCCTCGGCGCCTTCCTCACCCCCAGTTCCAGGATACAAGGGCCGGGGGCGCTAAGTGCTGGTAGGCGGGGAAGAGGCTTAGCGAGGCGGTCTGCGGGAACGCCGGGTAGCCCTGGAGGCCGAGCGCGCTCTGGGCGCCGCCGTAGTCCTGCGCAGCGCCGCTGCAGCTCTGGCACGCCTTGCCTTCGCGCACCAGCACGGGCACCACCACCCTGCGCAGGAGAGGCGCCGCCGCCGCTCCTCCGGCGCCGGCTCCTTCCCCGGCGCGCTCTCCTCCGGCGCCGCTGCCCTTGGCGCGCTTCATCTTGTAGCGGTGGTTCTGGAACCAGATCTTGACTTGCGTGGGCGTCAGGCGCAGCAAGTGCGCCAGCTGCTCCCGCTCGGGCGCAGACAGGTAGCGCTGCTGACGGAAGCGCCGCTCCAGCGCCAGAGTCTGCGCCTTGGAGAAAAGAACTCTGCGCTTCTTCTTCTTCTCGTCGTCGTCCTCGTCCGCTCGCGTCGAGGCGGCGGCCGGCCGCGATCTGCTCTCGGGGCCGCTCTCGTCCGAAGCTGCGGGGCAAGGCAAGGGTTGGGGAGGGAAGGAGACAAGGCAGGCGCGTTAGATCCCGCTTCCTGGTTATCATTTGCTTATTTACCGCTGCAAAGGGACGCGTGTAAGCGAGGATTAGGAAATTCCGGAAGACTGAAAGCGCAGTCGAAACATCATCAACAACAACAACATCATCAATGAAATATAGTGGTACCTCGGGTTAAGAACTTAGTTCGTTCTGGAGGTCTGTTCTTAACCCAAAACTGTTCTTAACCTGAAGCACCACTTTAGCTAATGGGGCCCCCGCTGCCGCTGCGCGATTTCAGCTCATCCTGAAGCAAAGTTCTTAACCGGAGGTAATATTTCTGGGTTAGCGGAGTCTGTAACCTAAAGCGTATGTAACCCGACGTACCACTGTACTGTTCAATGGATTCAATGGTTAGGTCTGAATGGTACATTATGCTGTGATTGTGAAGAAAGAGGGCATGGGGAAGAGCCTGCTGGATCAGGCCCATGGCCCATCTAGTCCAGCATCCTGCTCTCACAGTGGGAAACCAGATGCCTGTAGAAAACTCCTAAGCAGTTGTTCATCCCAAGAGTACTCTCACCTCCTGTGGTTTACAGCAACAGGCATTCAGAAACATAGTCATCATGGCTAGTCGCACTTGATAGCCCTCTCTTCCATGAATCTGTCCAATCCTGTCTTAAAGCCATCCAAGTTGGGGGCTGTCACTGCCTCCCGTGGAGGTGAGTTCCACAGTTTAACTGTGCGCTGCGTGAAGAAGCACTTTCTTTTACCTGATATGTGTATTTCTAGAATATATAGCTATAGCCACACACAAAATGCAGAAATAAATCTGCCCAGCCACCCATAGTTCCATTTTCTCTGGAGATCCGACAAAGCCGAAGGCCAAGAACCGAAACGGTAGCGCTTTTATTTGGGCGCACTGTGACCTTTTTATTTGGACAGGGCTTTGATGATGGATCGGGTAGGATTTACAGAGGGACGCACGAAGTTTCTTTATACTAAATCAAACCACTGGTCCCATGCACGGGAGTAGCTCTCCAGGGTTTCACAAGGGAGACATTCCCAACCTTGCCTAGAGATGACTCTGAGAATTCTCATCCGCCTCATCTTGATATTTAAATGTGGCTATTTTAGGCATAGTTTAATGTTTTGTTGCCAGCCAACAACACTGGAGACTGAGGTTAACTAGTCTCCTGGAGCACCAACCCGCTTCAGCAAAAACCTCCGACAGGAACAGGAGCAGCACTAGGACGCGGGAGAAGTTGCGCAGCCGAAACCGCCTTCCTGTGGTTTGCGTTGAGAAGACAGCAATACCGCTTCTGTGTCACGCGAGTTAAGCGCGAGACTGCGGGCAAGATTTCCTTTCAGCTATCATCTTGATGAAATATTGTTCTTCGCTTACCCTATCTATTGGAAGAGTTTTAGAATAGCGAAAATCTCCCTTTGATTTCAACGAGCTCCAGCCAGTCCTTTTACGAAATATTAATTGTACAATTGCAGAAACGGGTTTGTTGCTTTTAGCTCGCTGAGTTCCTAATCTTTTGCGTTTTATCTTATTTTTTTAATCATAGTTGGGCAGCTGGAGCGCTTGCTAAAGCTGCAAAACAGTAAATAACAATGATCGGTGCATTTGGTGGTTTGTAGGGTGCGTATATATGTATGTGAGTGAGTGAGTGAGTGTGAGAAAAGAACAAGAAAAGTGAGAGGTAGACATTTATCGGATGCCCAAAAATCTATTAACCTTTCTCATACTTCTAATTGCCTTTCCCATACACACACACGCCCAGCTGCAAGGGCTCAACATCTATTTTAAAGTACCCTTTTGTATGCGCCGTCTCCAAGCGTAAGGTTAGATCAAGAGATCTCCCGGAAGCCCCCCAAGCAGCCGCTCGCCTTACTAAGCTAAAAGAAGAGAAGATGCGGCTGAGCGCATTTGTTATCCTAAGCATGGGTGGTGGGTGGGTATGTGGAAGTGATATTCCTGGTGGATTTACTAATGGCAAAAGGGCGTGCTTTGGTTATATGGTGCGTGAGACATGCTTCTAGAAACCAATGGGTCTGTCTTCCTGTCTGTCTTTCTGTGACAAGAATCTCTCCCCACCTCCTCTCATTCAGGAGTCGCTTAGCTGCGAAGGGACCAGCTCTCATCGAAGTGGCGGATGGGAAAAAATCGGAATGGAGGCGCATCAGCAAGAATACCTGCCAGGGTTTATGGCCAAGGGCCATTGCCTCCGGAAGACCCCACCAGGAAGCCCTCGGGGCGCACCATTTTCCTAAGAAGCGTTTTGGAAGACTGAGCTGGGTTATTAGGATTTTAAATAAGCTCGTACACGTTATGAATTACTCTGTCTGTAAATGGACTCGTACTCGTTTGTGTATTTCCTTAATTTAGTGCCGGAGATTTAAGATGCAAGCCGTTCCTGTTCTACAATAGGAAGGGTCCTTAGATCTCCAAGAACTGCTACTCCGCTTCTGGAAACATTGGGCCAAACGAGAAGCATCTTCTGGAGCGGCAGACTCTTGTATTTAATTAGGGGATCTGCTTTTGGTGAAAGCAGAGCCGAGGCCTGGAAAACGACCCACTACTCTCCTCATCTTGAGTACAAGGGAGCTTAAACTATTGGCAATACTACCGGAAAAAAGTTGACTTGGACTTAAGCTGCGTACACAACATCCATTTCTAGCACACCCACTCACCCAAATAATTCCGGCAACTATAGTTTACTCCTCACAGAGCTGCAATTCTCGGCACCCTTAGCAAACTACAATTCCCAGGATTTAATGGGGTATGTATGTGTGCTTTAAAGGTTTAGCGGGCACACAGCCTGTAAACCCATCTGCTCTCGGTGGAACCAAAGTTACTTCCATCGAAGGTCGCAATCTTGGGCGCGTTTACTTGGGAGTCTCTTCGCATCCAATGGGACTTAATTCTGAGCAAATATGCATAGGATCGGACTAAACGGCAGCCTGAAAAGGCTATTGGGGGATCGTAGGGAGGGGGAGCTTATATTTTACAAGGCTGCAGGCAGCACGATTCGGCAGGAGTGAGGCTTGTAGGTATGGATTTCATTAAGTCCGCCCCCCTCATTTTCCTTGATCGAACATTTCTCCAAACCTCACTGGGGTGGAAGCAAAAATCACTGCCTAGCCAGTCCAAATTAAGCTCTGTCCCATTGATTTCAAAGGGAAATAAAAACACGTGGCTACATCTCCCACTGAAATCAATTGGACTTCTTTTGAAAAACCAAAAACTTAAGTGTGGCTGGATTTTACCCATAACTTGGTTAGCATTCAGCTGGAGTTCAGACCAATGGGACCTGAATCCAAGCGCTGGACTTTATTGGGCTTAGAACAAATATGAATCGATGGATGGATGAGTCAGATCATCTTTCACTATTATATTACCATCATGATCTAAGCCATGGATTCTGTAGAAAGGCTGGAATTTGGTACATGCGTACATACTAACTACCGCAGAAATAGACTACAGTGCTTTAAGAGCCATTACTTGGAAACAGAAATCGGTGGTGAGGGAAGGGGAGGGAAAGACAGACCGTAGAGATCACTATGATGAGGAAATTGCCCAGGGATACACTGAAGCGTGTTTTGTAATTAAACAAACTGAGCCCCTCGGGGGAAAAACTACAAAAGACAGCCACGGATCTAATCTTGTTGCCCAGAAATACAAGCATATTCTACATTATAATTACTACAGTAATATTAACTAATTACAGCAACTGTGGTATAGATTGTATACTGGGCTGAGCTTAGTTTCTTATTTTTATCTACAGAAAATGTTTTGATTTTCCATAAGGTGGGAAATATCTCTATGAAATCTATTTCCCTGCCTCTAAACAATTATAAAAACCTATGAATAATCTATTTTTTTAAAAAAAGACTATAGAATCATATATTATATATTTGCCAACATCTTCATCTAGGCACACGTTCATTCAATTGAATTTTCTGGCTGAGGAAGTGTCCTTAAATTCGTATGGTACATTTTCTGTAGAAAACGGTAGATATATAATCGGCAAAGCATTAATAGTCGAGGTAAAAGGCACCGTCAAGAAACAAAAAAATAACCCTACATGTGAAGTCGTAATAGTTTTAGTATATAATACGTGACCAATTAGTAAATACATATTATATTAATATCTGAACAGACGCATATGTGTCCATCTTGAAGATGTCAGCGCCGAGGAGACAATACCTAAGCAGGACCATTCCTAAGCACAAAGGCTATTACAGGGATCTCACGGTTTTGCCTGGAGTAAGCTTTATGATAGGAAGAAATGTATTTCTGCCTTGCTTTGAGTAACGAGTGTGTGGGCGTCCCTGGGTCCGTGTACACACACTTGCGTACACGAGCGATATGTATGAAAGTCAAATATGACATCTCTCGCTCAATATCTCCTCAATGCATAGCGATATCGATTTCCCTTCGGTGGAGTGGGTGTGTTCTCCCCTCTCTGCCGCACGCACACACCTTTCCATCATCTCTGCCCAGCAATATTGTTGGGGTTCAATATTCCTCCGCCCATTATCTCTGGGTGACCACCACGTCCCCGTTATCTCCCTGCCTGTTACATCTCCCTCTAAGATGGTGGTCGCCTTTATTTTCTCCCTCCCTCTTCCCCGGATCTCCCCCAAGCCCTTCATCCCTGTGCGATCCCCGCCGCCGCCCCGCACTCACACAGATACTGGCTCCTGTCCGTTTCCATCCATTCCCGGTACAGGGAGCGGCCGTATCCCTCGCTGGGGTCCTGCTCCTTGCCTCCGCCGCCTTCCGGCTCGGGTAAATCCAAAAGGCTCCGCACCGTGAAGCTGATCCTGCCCACGGTAGTCATGGCAGAGATGCCCGCCGCCGCCGCCTCTTAGTCAGTTTTCGGCAGTGGCGGTGATGGGCAGGCTAAGGCGAGGAGAGCGCAGCTACTGGGTGCCGGGAAGGCTCGGCCGGAGGCTCATCCCTGCTTCCCCTCCGGCGAGAGATTAGTGTCGCTTACCGATGGGGCTCCTGTTTATATCAACAGTCCTCCTCCCCAGCGTCAACACGGGCTGCTTTCAAACCGTCCCTGTCTATGGGATGCTAAGTACCTGAATTAGTCAAGTGCTCAAGCTCTAATGGGGAGTAAGGGCAACCTCACCCCCCCCGCACGCACACACACACGCAGCCCCCTACCCATCCCCCCTCCTCTCCCCACCCCCCACAGAATCACCCCTCCCCAAAGCCAGCAGGAAGCAGCTTTCAGTGTTACAGATTCTGTCTGATTAGGCCAAAGTGGGGACAGATAATGGTAATTGTTCGCCGTGAATAACATCTTGGGTGGTATGCGGGGACCAGCAGCCGCCCTCGCTAGCCCCTCCGCCCTTCTGTGAGCACACAAAGTGAATCCTCGCAGGGACATCCGCAGCGCTTGTCCGGGGCTCGCTTGCTTTTCGCCTCGAGCCCTCCCTCGCTCCTCAGCCTTTTCACGAGAATGCAGGAATTTATTCATTGTTTGTTTTCTTCTCCCGGTTTGGGAACCACTTCGGGGGCACAGCTACCCAGGATTCAGTCTCAATGGGTCCCCTTCTCTTCTTTTGCAGAGGGTGTGTAGGGCTTTCCTTCGCGCCTCAAACATCCAGGGGCGTACCCCGAGGGAACAGCCTCTTGAGTCCCTCTCCGCCCAACGCCAGGGAGGCACCAGCGTGGCTGAGCTTCCCAGGTCGTGAAAACGCTTTCCCAGGAAGCCCGTTCCGTCAGTGGGACCGAGGTCCTATTTCCAAAGAGTATCGCAGACTCCTAGCTCGACCCATCATCTTGTGGAGGCCAAACCATAGAATCATAGAACTGTAGAGTTGGGTGGGACCATGAGGTTCATCTGCGCCAAACCATTGATTTCTGCTTTCCAAAGGTGTGAGCCTTCCTTGCAGCTAAGTTAGCGAAGGGCCACAGTTCAGTGGGAGAGAAGAGGCTCTGCATGCTATCGATTCTGGGTTCAATCCCCAGCATCTCTAGGTAGGGGTGGAAAGACTTCTGCTCCAAACCTTGAAGAGTCACTTCCTACCAGTGCTGGAGATGGAACACAAAGCAACTTCCTGCAAACCTGCAAAAGGAAAAGAAAGAAAGGATCGTTTCGCCATGTTTTTGTTTTTTTCAAAACTCAAAGATAGAACAGCATTCCTAAGCACACTTCCTTGAAACTAAATTATATTGAAAACTGTAGGGATAGGTGTTAATCTCAGGGGGCTTCAGAAGTTCTTGTGCACACAGATCATACACATTCGATGGTGTTACACTGGAGTAAGCAGGGGTGGGGAACACCTTGAGCTCCAGCTGTTGTGTGACTACAGCCACCATCATTCCTAGTCATTGGTAGTGATGGTTGGGGCTGATGGGAGCTGGAGTCCAGCAACATATGGAAGGGCCATGGACTCTCCACATCTGCTTTAGAGTGGTTAGTATTGGAACCGGTGAGGCTCATTTTGGGCTGGGTTGACAGCAGTGTTCCCAGAAGATGGAGTTATTCCACTCCTGCCTGGGTGGGGGGGAACAGCATAGAAGGGATATTTGGATCTATTTTCAAGTTATTTCAATCCAGTGCCATAATCTCATGCCACCACCCCCCATCCTCGCATAACACAACTGAAGCTAAAAACTGTGGGAGTGTTGTGGGTAACAGGAGAGGATCTATTGATTAATATTATCCTTCCTAACTCACTCTAGCAAGCTTCTTTATGCAGCAGAGTGCATTCCCCCTTTTATACAGCAAGAAGGCTGGTTGCAGACTCGTGTGAGTCTCTTAAAATAATATGCAATTCAGTCTGGCTTGCCCAGATTGAGATCTGTTCTATTATTCCTGGTAAGACCCCTTTTATACCTCCTAAAAAAATAAAAACACAACAGTCTTATTCGTGAGTAACAAAAAGTAATTTTACTCACGATCAAGCAGAGCACAGTGTGATCCCTGAAGGCAGGCTTTAGGCTTAAAGTTACAAATATGTACAAACAGGTTTACCCCATATGGGAGATAACCTAGGGACTGCCGGCTAACAGCCAGCAGTGCAGTCCAGGTGAATCAGGAAGCAGACAGGACGAGAAAGAAGAAAGGAGGTGGCTACATGACTTGGCCTTTTACCAGGTCTGGAAAGGTCATACCCACCTACTAGTTGTGGGAATGTTCAGGGTGGCAGGCGAGGATATATTGTTTATTAATATCCTTCCTAACTTGCACCAGCAAGTTCCTTTACTTAGCAGAGTTTACATTCCCTTTTTACATGCATAGCAGATAGCTGGTTGCAGGCTTGTGTAAGCCTCTCACTTTATACAATTCAGTCTGTCTTCAGATTGAATTGTACGTTCCTGGTAAGTTCCCTTTAATCCTCTTAAAAGAATAAAGACGTGACAATCTTATGCAAAGTCAATAAAAAAAGTTTACTTACATCAGTTCACAGTTGAATCCCTGAAGGCAGACTTAGTTAAAAATATGTACATGTGGATCTACCCCATATGGGGGAATAATCCTACTGTTCTGCTAGCTGAGAGCTAGCAGAGCAGTCCTAGCTAAAAGCTGGTCAAACGAAGGAGTCCAAAAAAAGAGGCGTGCTGAGTGACTCTTCCTTTTGTTACCTGGACAGGTTAGGTCATGCCCACCTCCTATCACATGCAAAAGGAAGGATGCTCCAGTCAGGAGGAACAGGAAGTTTCAACTGGCTGGACCAAACATTCCCTCGCATGTCTTCTCTAGCATTACAAGGAATGTTGTACTTGACTGCTCTCAGTGGATTACATCCCACAAAAACAGCAAAGCAACTTTAGATAAACCAATAGTCTAATTTAGTGGGAAATGTCATGTCAAAATAAAATGTTAAGAGTTACAATCATTTTGTAGAAAGTTACCACAAAAGAAGGTTGTTTCTGAAGCAGCAGCTGACAGCTGGATCCCAAGAACGCAAGACAGCCATCTGTGAGATGGATGATCAGGGGGAAAATGGCACTCTCCTTTAAAGGAAGAAGAAAAACGTACATAGTTTTAGGTATAGGCATTGTTTTCCAGAGTCAGATGGGTTTGGGACTCAAAAGTAAGCGGATTGGTTACACTTAAGCTTAGAAAAAGGTCCAGCATGGGGAGTGAGGCAATGAGGGCATTGTAGGGGGTTGGACTAGATGACCCCCACATTCCCTTTCAGCTCCACATTTCTATGATTCTCAGATTCTCAGATGGTACTAGCTAGTTAAACAGGGGAAATGCAGAAGATGCATTCCTCTTCAACAAGGCATTTGGCTAATTATACAATCTATGACCTTTTTGTGGGAATGTTAAGGAAGGTAGGAGAGGATATATCATTTTGATATTATTCCTCCTCACTCACGCTAGTGAGTAAACAGCAGAGCACATTCCATTTGCAACTTATTGGAAGCAAGTTGTTAATTCGTTAGAATCCTTTAATTAAGAAATCCAGTCTGGCTTGTCCAGTCTGGATTGTTCCTGGTAAGTTTCCCCTTAAAATAATAATAAGACAACACAGTCTTCTTTAAAAGTAAGAATAAAGTTTTATTCATATTCTGCTTGCAGCAATAATCTGAAGGCAGGCTTTATCTTGTGGTTACAGTGAAAAGAAGTCTGAGCTACATCTCAGACTTTCTGCTTGAGGGCTCCAGCCTATGTGAAGGTTGAGCCATGCACTGGCTAAGAGCCAGGAGAGCAAGAGTAAGAGAGTAAGAGTCAAAATGGTAAGAGAGAGATGGTTGCATGGCCATCCCTTTTATCTGGTAAGCTAGGGTCATGCCCATCTTCCTGGTCACACACAGAGGGAGGAAGCTCCAGAGCAGTTATGACAGGAAGTCCTCCCTGTCTGGAGCCACATTCCCCTGTGTGTCCATTCTAGGCAACAGGAAATTGTTGTACTCGACTGCTCTAGTCATAATACATCCCACACTTTTAACCTGGGGAGTGGGTATAGTTTTGTGTGTTATTATGCATTTTTGTGTTTATACGGTAAGCCATCCTGTGGTCCTTCGATGAAGGCAGTATATAAGTTATAATAATAATAATAATACCAGAACAAAATTGGTGCCAGGCAAGTTATGGCATGACCATGGGCAGCATTGCATCTGCTTTAGGGCAAGGATACCACCAGGTGGGGCCCCATCCAATTGGCTCTATGCTTTTCAATCTGGATTGCATTGCAAACTTGGGTTTTCTGAAGAATGCATCAAGGAGACCAAATATGCATTAACATCAGCAGTAGGGAATATTTCTTCCCCATAGAGTCATGGCAATTGCTGGATTCAATAGCTATACCCAGATTGTCAACAACAATGACCGTCTGTCAGAATGACAATGACAATCTATTAGAAATATGATTTGAAGTCAACAATTCAGTTAGTAATTAAGGAAAGATTAAGAACAAACTTAGTTGGTCTCTAAGGTGCTACTGGACAATTTTTTTGTTTATAAGGAACCAGTGGTTACTGATGCTTTCTTACCTAGTTCTGAAGCAATTGATTTTGCATACGGTATATCTCCCATCTCAATCCTATTAGATACTGATTTCAACATACATTGATTTCCACCTAATCTGTTTGGCTGGGAGACCTTAAGCTGAAATCCTAGGAACAATTCAACAAAAGTCTGCTCACTGTCTTGTGGCATATTAGCTGATCATGATAAAGAGATTTTGGAATTATTCAAAATACTGTAGAAGTGGTAACTTAATCTTTAGCTATGAATCCCCTGCTTAACTTATATGAGAAAAGGGTATACTGCATATTTGACATGCAGGGGAGTAACCAAATTTGCCTTTATTCCAAACACTGAGAAGTGGCATCAATTCACAGGCATACAAAACCTACCTGCATACTGAATTCCATTAGACACAACACTTATTTCAGTGTTCATGTGCTAAAGGTTTGCATGATGGTTTAGGGTAAAATGAAAAATATCATGTGATTTATTTCAATGGGGGTAAATGTAAAGGTAAAAGGATCCCTGACCATTAGGTCCAGTCGTGGCCGACTCTGGGGTTGCGGTACTCATCTCGCTTTATTGGCCAAGGGAGCTGGTGTACAGTTTCCGGGTCATGTGGCCAGCATGACTAAGCCGCTTCTGGCGAACCAGAGCAGCGCACGGAAACGCCATTTACCTTCCCGCTGGAGCGGTACCTATTTATCTACTTGCACTTTGACGTGCTTTTGAACTGCTAGGATGGCAGGAGCAGGGACCGAACAACGGGAGCTCACCCCGTCATGGGGATTCGAACCGCCAACCTTCTGATCAGCAAGTCCTAGGTTCTGTGGTTTAATCCACAGTGCTACCTGAGTCCCTTCAATGGGGTTAACCAGATTTAATTGCAACTCAAACAAACTGCTACTTAAATGCATTGGATTCACTTCAGTCCAATAAATGTGGGCTTCCAGCTCAGGAAGGCAGGACCCACCCAGTCATGAGGCAGAAAGAGGGAACTCAGTCAGATAACAGGGTGCACCCCTTTACCCAGCTACCTCACTTTCCTGCCTGCCAGCCTTCCTGCTGTTGTTGGTAACACTGCTTACCACCACCACCCTGGTGAAACTAAAGAAGGTGAGGCTAAACTCTCTGTCATCCTCTCCACAGCATCCCTGCATGTTCTGAGAAAGGGCCATGGGGATCCTTTCTCAGAGCCGGATATTCTGGGCAAGGACACCTGTGATGGCACTGTGGTTTACACAGCAGCTAGAAATTGCAGGATTTACAGTCAAAATCACAAACGCATGATTGCCAGAAAGGCACATGAGGGGCTGACACTTAAAGATTTATAGAATGGACTGTTTGAGGCCATTTTCTTAATGCTTTGGTGGGAATTTCAAAGAAATAATATAATTTTATGTACTTCCTGTCTGAGCTCTCCTTCTCTTTCTTTCAAGCCAGCAATGTGAACAGTTGTACATGCCTTGGCTCTGCCTAGAACCCAGACTCCACTTTGGAAACTAATTTTATATTTTGTAACTAAGAAGTCACAGCAGTCACGAAATATATTTCGTAACTAAGAAGTCACAGCAGTCATGAAATTAAAAGACTCCTGCTCCTTGGGAGAAAGGCGATGGCAAACCTAGACAGCATCTAAAAAAGCAGAGACATCACCTTGCCAACAAAGGTCTGTGTAGTTAAAGCCATGGTTTTCCCAGTAGTGATGTATGGAAGCGAGAGCTGGACCATAAAGAAGGCTGATCGCCGAAGAATTGATGCTTTTGAAGTATGGTGCTGGAGGAGACTCTTGAGAGTCCTATGGACTGCAAGAAGATGAAACACACCCATTCTTAAGGAAATTAGCCCTGAGTGCTCACTGGAAGGACAGATCGTGAAGCTGAGGCTCCAATACTTTGGCCACCTCATGAGAAGAGAAGACTCCCTGGAAAAGACCCTGATGTTGGGAAAGATTGAGGGCACAAGGAGAAGGGGACGATAGAGGACGAGATGGTTGGACAGTGTTCTCCAAGCTACAAACATGAGTCTGACCAAACTGCGGGAGGCAGTGGAAGACAGGAGTGCCTGGCGTGCTCTGGTCCATGGGGTCACGAAGAGTCGGACACGACTAAACGAATAAACAACAACAACTAAGAAGTATTTTTACCTGCATACCAGTTTGATATATTTGCTGCTTGCATTGAAATGTAAGTAAACGGTTTTGTTTTTGAGTTGCTGCCCTCCAGACCTCTCATGGAGGAGGCACACAAAGAAGGGCCTCAGATAATGATCACAGGGTCTGGGATAATTCAGATGGGGAGAGGTGGTCCTTGACATATTGCAGTCCTGACTTGTTTAAGGCTTTGTAGGTAAAAACCAGCACTTGGAAGTGGGCCTGAAAACTAACTGGTAGCCAGTGCAGTTAGGCCAGGATCTTTATAATATGCTCAAACTGCCATGCCTTCAGTGAGCAGCTTGGCCACCAAATTCTGCACCAGCTGAAGTTTATGAACCCCCTTCAGAGGCAGTCCTACATATTAACGTGATGCAGTAATCTAACCTAGAGGTTACCAGAGCATAGACAACAGAAGCTAGGCTATCCCTGTCCAGATAGGGCCTCCAGCTGAAAGGGATGG